ATAGAGCGTTCAAAGTATTCCAATTGCACGAAAATTTCACGGAGATACTCTTCCTTGTCCCATCTGTCTTTTTTTTTTCTTTGAATAATCGCCTTTGTGATATCATACGATGTTCTTACCGGACACAGCGAAGATGGCTCACAGAAAAAATCGCTCCAAAGTCGGAGCTAATACTGAACTGCTACTGTTGAGCTTTCAAGGAAAAAGGAGAATCCGAAGAGTTATTTACGCATAGCGAATTTTTTACAGGAAGGAGTACCGCCCGGCGAAGCCGGGCGTCACCATAAGAAGGAGGGAAGCCCGGCGTTAGCCGGGCGGCCTGACTGGTTTAAAAGGACGAGAATTGTGCGTTAGCCAGGCGTTCCTATGGTTAATCGTAAGGTCTATTGGTATCACATGGACTGGCAATTAAGATGATTTCGGAACTAGTTTTCATCGCACTGTTCCATTAATTCACTTTTCGATTAATTGTTTCATATAGTGTTTCTGTTATTGCAAATATGAGTCATCCCAGTTCAGTGTCAGATAATTTAGGGTGAAGATTTGTTCCAGCGCAACGCACTCAAGCTCTTTTTGTATGCAGATGTACGGTGCGCCCAACTCGCGCAAAGTCGTCATCGCGTCACGACGTGCCTTCGTCTTCACAGGAAGCTCTCAAGATGCTCCCAATGAAGAGGTCTGGAGAATCGACTTCTCGACGTGGAAAAAATCGCGGGAGGCCGAGATGGAAACCTTAGCAGACTACAGCTTTCATGTACCATATTTTAGAGTTGCAGAGTTACTTTAACTATGCTGTTACTGTTTTGTTATGTTTTCTTTTCTCTGACGTTAAAACGTCATTAAATGCATTTTTTGTCGCACATTCAGATATTTAGAGGAATCAGGACTGTCTAATTATTACTGCTTGCATTTCTCTATTATTCTGCCTTGCATGATATGCTTTTCTGAAAGAATATCTAGAAGTCAGGTATATGGCTAGCTTGTTATCTAAAATCAAACAATCTTGCTAGTTATCAAAAATCAGAGTATCATCAGAGGTAGTTCTGTTGTGGCTGTAGCATTGTGTTCAGTGTTTTTATGAATTATTTCTGTGAATCTTGTTGTTCTTATAATATCAATTAAGGGGGTGCAAATGAAACTATGTAATCTGTAAAGATCAGGAAACCCGGACCGTTTTTGGCATGTAATGGCCCAGTACAAACTGTCCTATAATGGTTTTTCTTGTCTTAGTGCATTCTCGCCCACCGCGGACTCATAACATTTTGCGTTATCGAACAGAGATGTGAGTTTTTGGTCTCAGCCCCGCCCGCCATGGACCAAGTTCGGCACACTCCTAGGATTTCACCACGCTTGTTCGAGAGCATTTCACCACTGTTCCCCACAGTTTAGATTGTTTTTGAAAACCCATAAAATTTTTCTGAAAAACCTACATTTACTGCACGTTCGTTCATCGTAGGCGGAGCGAGAAAACCCTGTTCCTTTTCGTCCCGGTGTGAAGAAAGACATGGACCACTAGACACACGCCAATGAATGGCCGTCCGTCTCCCCCGACCTCAACCCATTGGACTACTCGGTGCGATCCACGTTCGAGCAGAAGGCCTGCTCCACTGGTGACAGAAGTATCGATTCGCTCAAGTCGGCTTCGAAGAAGGTGTGGGATGAAATCGGCGTCAAATATCTGCGGTCCGTCATCGACCCTGGACGCCTGAAGGCTGTCGTGAAGATCAAGGCATGCGACATGGAGTGATCGCTCTTAATTTTTATTTCACATCGGCGTAAAAACTACATGCCAAGTCTGATTGCTTTTGGGTATATATTGAGGAAGATAACTGGTTTTTTCCATGTAGCAAAATTTTTGGGCCACCCTATGTTGTGCTAGTTTCTTCCTGGCGCATTCTCGTGTGCATAATAAACGAACGAATGAATATTTTGTCTTCACTCCGCTAAAATGAGAATGAGGATGCTCAGATTGGCCTGCGGTCGGACATGACTGGAACGACATGGAAACGAAGACGTCAAAGCATGCATGAACAGCCCCGCTACTTTCTCGTCTACAGCTGAATATGAGAAAGCAGCGTCTACCATGACTGAGGCACGTCCTGTGAATAACGCCGACCCATCCAATGGGGGAAATGAAGTTCGAGGCTCAATCGAAGCGACCACGAGGATACTCTAAGAAGCGGTGGCGGGATGTAATGTGGGGAATCTCACAGAAGCTGAAATAACGACAAAAGATGACGTAGATAAGAACTGGAGACGGACTACTGGCAAGAATAGCAGACTCTGTGACTGCGCTGGAATAACGCTAGGGAGAAGAAGACGTGCGGGCCATCGGAATTCTGACTTTGCGGTCAAACACACTGACACACACATACCTTGCAAATCGTATGTATGAACCAATATCTTCAAAAGCTTTCTCCATGAAAATGAAGAACAAGATTGAAACATCTTGTAACGTTAAAAGCGGTGATTCATACCTCATGCTGAAATTCTGATGCTTTGCTCGATCCAAGGAACCCTATGTGCCAAACACAGCATCGTATCTCTAAGTTAACGATCTTGGGAACTCATATAGTTCGTATTAGTATCATCACTATAATACGAAAGAAAATGAAGCTATCTCAGACAATTTCAAGCTTTATACAACGCGTAACAAATATGAACAGCACAGAATGTAATAACAAATCAACAGAATTATTTTAATCTTATCAACATATTAGGTAGCATATTCGAATACCAATATATGAAGCTATTTCAGATTTACCAATCCTGATCCTGAATTCAAGCGTTAAATTCCTCTTGAAGCCTATCCATTTTGACTAGACGCCGCATATCGAATTTTCTAAGATTAATATTCACATAAGCCCCGTCGTATAATCGTTCAGCGAAGGCTCTTCCGGCTGCCAAAGAATGCATTGCACTCCTGCAAATAATAGACAGCACTTTAATGAGGTCAGCTCCACTACTCAATGCAAATTCTGGAATATCATGAGCTATCCAAATCCATGAAATTTAGAATTTGCAATGATAATGAACTATTAGTGCACTCCGCTCGAGATCATACAAAAGATTTTCTACTTTCTTTTGTATTTCTATTGCTGTATAAAAAGATGGGACAAGATTAACTGAGTGCTTTCTGTAATTTACATTTTTATCATGGGAATCTTCACAACAAGAAAGGGGGTTCTAGGGGAGTTCAGCACGAATGATTTTAGCAGTACTGTCACAAGACTCATTGAACCATTCGCGAGAGTGCGACAGGTGATCGATACAGGTGACTTCTAATCAGGAGCTCTGCCTGACCTTATCCTACTGGATAGTAGAACAAATGTTTTGCATATAAAAAGAGCAATTGAGAATTACGACAGAATCAACTTTGACAGAGTCGAAGATCATAATCGGAGTAAAAAAATGACCCAACCTTGCATAACAGACTTATATTACCCTAAGTGCGAGTACTTCATATGATTCCTATGTACATAGACAAGCTTTCGTGAGATGATAATGAGAACACAATGCAAAGACTGCATTTTCGAGAGGTACGAAAATTCTCTTTACTTTCCCATTTTAACTTTTTATACTTTTTCAGGGGTCAACTAACTAGTTCTCCTCCCCGAATCGTCGTTCCATCGGAGACGCTGTTACCTAACTCACTCCTATTCAGGGAGGATTCTTCGACAAAATGTTATAGAAGTTGTTCAACTCCGCAATTTGAAGCGCTGAGCGACTAGGAGACTATTCCGCCGACTGTTACCCTTCCACCGCGATGCCTGGCTAAGTAAGAACGGTTCAGCCAATAGGGTACTGAAGAATGGAGATGGAGTGGGGAAGGGGTGATGGAGGTGCTTCGTACTCATCCGCTAATCTTGGAATGATTTTTGAGGAGAACTCGAGTGTAAATGGCGTACCGTGCTCGCCGCACTGTGACTAAACGTGTAAAACAAGATATACAATATTTGATACGACACCTTCTAAATCTATAAAAAATGGTAAAATGGTGAATATATTATTAAAGAGCGATATAGAGCACCAAGAAATCACAGCTGAAAACTCACCTGCCACCAAATCCGCACATCATATAGAGATTTTGATAAATCGGATGTTCACCTATTACTGGGGCACTATCAAAAATGTTTACATCTTGAAAGCCACACCACGCTGATTTTATCTGAAATAACGTCTCTTTACTACCTCACAAATGCGCAGAAAACCATGCGGAAAGTTCGTTTGAAGTGTGATACATCGGCAATGTTTTCCATTGCATATAAGCGACGAATTGTGATGATTGTGAAGGAATCCCCGACGAATGGTTCAAGAATTTAAATTGCTAAGCCAATTGCCCAGCCAAATGTACCAAAAGTGACAACAGTATGGTCAGCTTGAAAATAAACTCCATTTCCCAAGAAAAACGTGTTGGTCCTGAGCTTATACTGTTTTTAGAAATGATGACAAAATCAGACCTTCGCAGAGTGGAATCCAGGTACTCGTTTTACCAGAACAGGCCAAATCTTTTCATAGAACTCGTTGTAGTCTACTTCAAGGGATTCACGATCATCGATGCGATCCTCCTCCTATGATCGACAATTAACTGATGTTTCTTTGAATATTTCAACCGAGTAAACATTACTTCTGTTGGATTTCTTCCTACTACAAAAGTATTCCCAACATCAATCTGACGGCAGTGAACACCACATGGTTCTAGGAGAGATGGCATATCTACTGGGACATCTGGTGCGTAAACAACAAAGTTTGTTCGTCTCCTAGGAAGTACTGGAACGGGGACGGCCAACAATCCTTGTCCCTTGCCTAAAAATGCGCCATACAAATTCTCTTGAAAGGGAATGGAATTTACTAGTTTTCCAAGAAAAAGAAAACCCTAACAGTTCACTGCTGACACATATAGAGATTCTGAAGCGCTGCTCAATAAACAGCAGTAACTGTTGCGGTTCTTTTCCTGCTTCCAATGAATAATACAGTAACGGTCAGTGAAGTATTCGTTTTCACTTTTTCAAACATAACTTCCTCAAATGTCCATCTTTTCGCCTGATTTTTTCATAGTTAATGTATCAACGAATGTGATGAGCAAGCAATTTCTCAGCTGTCTAAGTGAATTATGAAATATTTTAAAAGATTTACATCATTTTGTGTCCAAACACCATCATACCTATAAAATCTTTAATCTGTCTGGATTTTCCATTTTTCAACGGAACAACTTGTATAATATCAATATAACAACTACGACATTAATACTTTGTCGCATAACCTCTGGCGTCAATGACCGCTTGACATCGGCGTGGCATGGACTCGATGAGTTTGTCTATCTCTTCCTGTGGGATGTTCTCTCATGCTGTCTTCAGCTGGAGGAACTTACCGTGCTCATTTCGAGCTCTGAGGCCTTTAACTTGGTGCTCAAGTCTTTCCCATAGATGTTCGATGGGATTTAGATCGAGAGACTGCGACGGCCACGTCAGCAGAGGGACGTTGTTGTCGCGGAAACATTTGGTGAGCAGCTTCGATTTGTGTTTCGGGTCGTTGTCCTGTTGGAAAATGGAGCCACTGCGAGCAGTACTGCGAACAAAGGGCCAGACAACAGTATCCATGAGATTAA